TCAAAATCAACAGTGGCATAAAGAACATGGTAAAGATGTCTAAATGTTATTATAAAACAAAATGTATTCATGAGTTAGAATTGTTTTAAAAAGGAGAAAAAGAAAACCTATCAACTATAGCCTTAAATAAAAAGATAATTCTCTGGGTGAACATGTAATTCATAAAAGACCTCAATATTTGTAATCAATTTCACTATAATCAGGAATAAGACCAAAACCAATGGTGGAAGTGGCCTAAAATAGTGATACAAAATAGTGTTAAATGTGGTACCTGCTATCTGGAAAAAATCTAATCTTACTCAACAGAAGCTTTCACTGGCCTAAGACTTTGTAATGAAGGCTTACTGCTTCTTTATCAAAGTGGAAAATAATTCCTCAGATACTTGTAGTATCCTTTGGGTCTTCCCTGGCTTCTGCAGTGTAATGGCTAAACAGGTCTGGGTCCTGATTCCTGAAAACTAAAGTATGACAGGGTCTCATTGACATTTTGGTGTGAAGAGCTGCTGTCTATTGGATTCTAGGTCCTTTGAGGGCCCTGTGGGGGCTACAGGGTGCGACCAACATCATCATTTCTGGACTTTCTCATGAATCTCCTGTTAGGACTATAGGGCAATATAATCCTTAACGACCATTTATAAGCTTCCCACCACAGGAGAACAAAAGACCAGGAAATGCTTGCTGGACACTGGGAGTCAGACTATACAAGGAATGGAAACTGTCCTAAGGACACCTGATCGCACACCTGCATTCCATCCGCATTACAAACCCACCACCTCCGCCCCCAAACCCACTGATGACAACAGTTTCCCCACCAGCGACTGCATATCAGGATGAGACTCCAGCTCCTGGGTGCTGCCATCATCGACCCAATGTCCCCTTGGCTGGGTGCTGTGCAGCCTTTTGCTTTGGATATCCCACCCCCTATCCCCTTTCCTTAAATAAATTCAAATTTTCTTTATCCACCATCTGAGATGGCTATTTAGTCTACCCACACACCACCTTTCACCTCCTGCTGCCTCATGGCCTATTCAGGAGGCAGAAGAGAGATCTTTAGTGGGAAAAATCTCCATGGTTTTTCTCCCTGGGGGCTGCCTTTTGATGTGTCCTGAGGAATTCAGAAAAATATGTTTTTCTTCGCAAAGTCTGGTATTCACGGACTTTTCTGATGCATGCTCTAAAGCCCTGCTTTGGAAGACAGAGGTTAAATAATAAACTCCTTTTCTCAACAATCATTATGCCCTGTCCTTCAACCCTCTTTGTCTCTTTTTTCCTCCACCCCACAGATAAATGCCTCAGGACTGTGGAGAAGATAGGGATATGAACCTGTACAAGGAAAGAGTATACTAATTTCTTTTCATAATATTGATTTGGGTTTTCTGAGCAGGATGCAAGGGTAATTTCTTTCCTGGGTTCTTGTCCAGATGGATTAGAAGAATGAAGCCACGGGCAAAAGGTGGTAGATGAAAAGGATGGAAATTTATTGGAAGCAAATACAGCCTCCCACATGGAGAGGGGGTCCCAAGGGGGTAACCCTCTAAGCTCCTTTTTTTCTAAGGTTTATAAAAGTCGCAGTTCTTTGTCTCTTGATGCTCCCTTCTTATTGGTCACTCTTTTGCAGAATATCAGCTTCAAAGCCTAAACTCCAAGTGGTGCTCCCCACTTCCTCTCCCCCTTCAGTGGTAAAATGCTCTATCTCCTGTGAAATCTAGTTTCCTCTTTCTCCTACTTGTAGGCATTTCTCTACCCTCTGTGAAAGTTTTCCTTTTTCTCCCCATACCCTGTGTCTTTCCCCTATCTTCTGTGAATGGATGTCTTCATCTCCCTTATCCTGTGGCACCTCCCCCCTTTTTTTTCTCTGTGAATGTATGCCTTTTGGCAACTCCAAGCCCTCACTTACGCCTTCCTCCCTCATGGGCCCTCTTTATTCCTAAAACTCCCTAAACCTGCCTATTTTATCCCTAAAACTCCTTTTAGTTTCATCATCAAACCTGTGAACATATCAAATGTGTAAATGATTCCTCTTTTTAAAACTAAGCGTATATAACACTGATTTGGGCACTCAAGTGAGTAACTTTCTTAATATGTGCCAAGAATGATCATTTTATCTGAATGTATTTTGTTTGCAAATTTGTATAGACAATTCCTTCCCCAAGCTCTGTAACCTCTCAATTCTTCATATCAGCATTGGTTCCACCAAACTGGAAGTGGTTAGGAGTACTCCACCGACAGACACATGGGAGAGAGACTTTTATAAAGAAAATGTGGAAGCAAAGTAAGAAAATTATTAATTGGCTCTATAGCTTAAAGCCTAATTGACTGTTTGTAATTGGTTGTCCTTAGGTTTCAATATGTAAGCCTGAGGCTTAGATTTTTGGTTTGCTTGCACTGGTTGGCATAGCATTAGAGCCACCTTAGGCTAATAGCCTCATTGTTTAATATAATAGTCCTTAAACTTTTCTAAAAAGATATGTAGATATTCAACTTAGAGCAGTTGTAATTGTACTGCTAACAGATTAAGAATATTGATAATGACATATAAACTTGGGTATATATATCAGCAAATCAGCGTGCACTGGAATAGTGAGATATTCAGTCTGTACTTGTACACATGGTTTCCAGGCTTCTTTCAATACCTCTCTTCACACCAGTGTCATCCTCCCACTTAAACCTCCGCTATGGCTCACACATGAACCACTGTTTGAAGAGGATCTGTCAGTCACCCAAAAAATTAATAATTCTATGAAAATGAATAAATGTCACTTTAAAAATGGTTGATTTGTCTACTCTTTCCTCAAGGTATAATTTTCTCATTCCCAAAGGAGACATTTTGAAAGTTACTAGTACTTCATACTTATCTCTCACTCAAGATAAAAAAATTGGCTTAGTTTATGGTAAACAGCAGTTATAATTTGAAGAATCAAGAGCTGGCTTCTTTACCCCAAATCCATATAGGATACTCTTACACATTACTATGGCGAGAAAAGTTGGCATTTTTAAAAGACAAAGAAGAACATTTTGTTTTTTCCTTCAAGGAGACATTTCAATATCTTAAGTGCTCATTTGCAATCCCATAAAAAGTTTTCTTTCTCTTTAAATGTCAAGGTGATGTTTTTATGATTAATGTAAAATTAAACTCACAACTCATTCTTTGCACCTTAAGTGACATTAGTAGGTGGGAGACAAACAATTATAAGTAGGTTTTCCTGAGGCTAAACACCTTTACCTTTGAACTTAACTTATTACATAATTCAAAAACATTTTCTGCTCTAAATATTTTAAGACATTAAACAAACACTAAAGTACCAAAAAGGCAAAAATGCACTCACAACAAATTTAATTGCATATCCAACAGAGAAGCAGCTATATTTAAGTATGACTATCATTACTCAAATAATCTCAAATAATCAAATTTATTTTAACTACTAAAATTACACCAACAATAATAGATCTTATATTTTGTCATTCACCATATTTCCAAATTACTGCATTACCAGAGTTATTTTGCTCACAACAACCCTAGGAAATATGGAAATTAAGTATTATTGTCCTCAGAAAAATTGTGAGGCAGAGAGAATGACAAGGCTCAGCTGAAAATCACATAGATAATTAATGATAAAGATAGAACTAGAATAAAAAGAATTTCATTCTCTGCCAAGTTTTTGTTCACCTAGAGTAATTCCTCTATTCACAATAATATAAAATGTTTTGGAATATTTAATATTTATAAAGTAAGTCTTAATTCTGTAGTTCTATGTAAAAAGGTAAAAAAAATAGATTTTGAACACTGTTGCTAGGGAAATAATATCATATCAACATTGATATAAATGATAATATTCATATGAGCAGGGGTTGCAATCCCATGATGATAGGCAGCTCCATTCCCATGCTTCAGTCTCAGGCCCACTGGCCTCATGTGGTGGCCATAATGATATCTGAATCACCTTCAGGGCCATTCTCCCCTTTTCTAGAAGCATAACACACATTTACAGCAGAAAAACTTTATGTTCATGTCCTATAGACTCAAAGGAGTCCTTCCAACAGCCTTCCCTTATTTCATCCCATCCCATTTTTCTCTTCTCTTCAGGCCCAGCTGGCAGTATTTCTGCTGGTCTAATCTCATCTCCATTCCTGGCTTGGATTAGGTCCATGGTTTATCTAATCTCCTCATCAAAATGCTTGGTCAGTCACACCCTCAGTGTGCTCTTCAGAACACTTTCTCATTTTTTTTGCAGTATGGATAAGCTGAGAATTTTTTTAAATCTTTAAGTTCTAGTTACTTTTTTTTACTTATTGCTTACCAATTTTTTCTTCAATGTATTTCTCTCTTCTTCATTTGTAAGCAGTCAGGAGGAAATAAGCCACTCCTTCAACACTTTGTTTAAAATCTTCTCAACTACATATCCAGTCTTATAACTCCCAAGTTCTACCTTCCACAAAACATGGACACAATTCAGCCGAGTTCTTCATCACTTTATAACAAGCATCACCTTTTCCCTAGTGTGTAATGGCATGTTCCTCATTTCTTCCTGAAACCTCCTGAGCATGGCCTTCATCATCCATATTTCTACCAAATTCTGTACATGATTATTTATGTATTTGCTATGAAGATGGAAGTGTTTCTGTGAGTTTCCTTTTGTTACTGAACTCTCATCAGGATCACTTTTAACAGTTCATAGACTTTTTGTAATGTGTACCTCAAAACTCTCCCAGCCTTTATTACACATTTCTAAAGCCACTTCCACATTTATATGTTTTTGTAACAGTGGTGTTCTGCTTCTAAATACCAAAACCTATCTTAGTTCAGGCTGCTATACTAAAATACACTAGACTGAGTGGCTTAAACAATAAACATTTACCATACCAATATTGATATAAATGGTAATTATCATGTTAATATTGATTTAAATTATATTGTTGCCTATAAAATGGTGTATTTTATATTATAAAATTAAATATCTAAAGGTGGCTGAAACTAATAAGAAAAAACTTATTTAAAAATCATGTTTGTATGGTAGCACATATATAAAAATTGGAATGACTCAGAGAAGATTAGCTGGTTCCTTTTAAAGTATGACACACATTTTTAAAGCACCCTAAGTATACTTTGTAAATCATGTGCTCTTGAAAATAGTTTCATTATAAATCTGAGTTTCTGCAAGATATTCAATGCTGGATAATAGGCAACTTTACTAAAAATAGGTTAAATTTTTATTTTTTTATTGCTTAAAGTATTACAAAGGGTATTACATATGTGTCCTTTTTTCCCCCCGCCCTTGACAATCCCCTGGCCTCCCCTTCCCCCCAGTGTCTTATGTCCATTGGTTATGCTTATATGCATGCATACAAGTCCTTCGATAATAGGCAACTTTACTAAAAATAGGTTAAAATTTTTAAAGTTTGTAATTCCAAAGTCACTTTTAAAGTTGAAATTTTAAGTCTTAGGTGCTGAAAGTGGCCTACGTTGTTTTCCGAATTAATTAATACTACATTCCCAATATTTTGCTTTATTCTCATGAAGTAGATTTAAAATAATAATTATGTTTTAATATGCTATTACAGTGTAGTATTCAGATATTATTTATGATCCACCAACTCATTTGTGCTCTACTAGAGATGTTCAGTTCTAAAGGGAATAAAAAAAATTTAGAGATGATAAAATACATAATAATATTGCAAAAACACCATACATTTTACAAGTAAATTATAGTAATCTATAGGGTGAAATAAGAGATGCATGGATCATAACAACTTATTTTGCTCTTCAATTATTTTCACCTACTGCATCAAATTTTTCTATATATATCTGCATTTAATGACACAAAATTATATACAACATTTTATAATGAATTAAAACAATTTTTATACTTGCATGTTTACTGAAGCTTGAGAATTCTTTTTGAGAAAACAGCACTGTGAAGGTGTTGAGGTAAAAGGAAGAGGTTAGAAGGAAAATGGTAATTTTAGAAATATCAGAAAAATGTACAATACATTGGAATGTCAGTTTGGAAAAATATGTGCAGCATAGTAATTAGAGAAATAAAAGACTATATAAAACAATATGTTGAAAATTCAGATTAATATTGAAGTGATCTGCAATTAAAGAAATGTCAAAAAACACATAAGAATTGATACATTATTTTATTGTAGAAAATCACTTACTACATCTAATTTTGATGATATATTTCTTAAAGTGTCATTTGTGAAGTCTAAAAATGTTTTTAATTAAGGGTTTGTATTTGATTTGATCTGTACCAAAATAATCTTAGCATCCATTTTGTGATTATAAAGTATTAAAAACACTTAGTAAAACTATCATTATTTCATAATAATGAAGGGTAATGGAGTTACTCAAGTAACTTATACTTCAAAATTTTATATATAAAATATAAATTTTAAATATTTTAAATTTGATTACAATATGAAAATAATACAGAGCTCTTTTATAATAGAAATTGCTCATTCAAAGCATTTGTGTTTTTTTTTACTATTGCCATTTATTTCATCCAAACAAAAATGTATAGAATTTATTTAACTGACAGGATCTGATGAGTTCATTTCTTCTTCTTATAATAGCTAAGTTTATTCAGATGCCTATTCCTAAAACCATGCTAATCTATCTTGTGTACAATTCACTTGGTGGCCACATTATTTACCACGTATTGCCCTACATCACCTTAGATACAGCTGACTAATCCAGAGCAAGTACTTTACCCAAGGACAATGAATCCCATATCTGGTCAAGTGTTTTTAATTTATTTTTAATTTTAATATGTTTTTATTTATTTTAGAGATATAGGAAGGGAGAGGGAGAGAGAGAACCATGGATCAGCTGCCTCCTGCATGCCCCCTACTGGGAATCGGGCCCACAACCCAGGCATGTTTTCTGACTGGGAATCCAACCAGTGACCTCTTGGTGCATGGGACAACCCTCAATCCACTGAGCCATACCAGCTGGACTGGTCAAGTGTTTTTTAAATAAAAGGTTAGCAAACAAATTACTCTCAATAAAATTTGAACTAATTAAATCTGAGAAAATAAGTTATATAAGGTTATCAGATGAATGGTCATGAAAAAAAGGATTAAAAATACATACTGGAATGTGTTCACGTCAGTTATGCAGAAAAGATATTATTGTTAAGTAAAGGAATGTTGATAGAGATACATGGATAGTCACAATCGAATATGCCATGAGAGAGAAAACTGATGACACACTAAAACACAACCCTATAGGTTCTGGATGACTACTATGTCTATTCTAGATGTAGCTTCACAGGAACATTTTTTCTTTGACTCAGCATAGTTTCCCTAACAAAATAGTTCTATACCAGATTTAAAGAACCAGAGACTGATTTTTGAAACCATATAGGGGACAAAATTCTTCCATTCCAACAAAAATTCTCTAAAGAATTTTTCTAAGAACTCTTTTTATCTACAGGTTGGCAAATTGGGCTGTTAAAAACAAAAATTCAACTAAGTAAATTTAAAGATCAAATCGGCTTTATTCAATGATTCATGAATCTGGCAGCATCCCATTTAGCAAATAGAAAGAAACTCCCAAGAGCTGCACAAAATGAAAAGCTTTCATAGATAGAGGGGGTGGGAAAGGTAATTTCTAGGAACCAGGATATTGTTTCAGGCAAGGTCGCTTTTCTATGGGGGAAGAAAGGGGCCTGTCAGGCAGGTTACCTCACTAGCACCGACCAAGTAATCCCAGATTGGACTGGCTAAAAGGTCATATTCCTGGGAGAGGCTAGAACTGCAATCAGGTTAGGTATTAAGGATTGGTTTGCTGAACTGGAGATTAGCACAAGTGACTCCATTTTGGGCCTGTTGTCTCTTTTTTAATATCTCCAAAAGTTATTTCATATGTTAAGTATACACAGAATCATATATTTCCCACTTTTTAGGTTAAGAATCCTTATAGTTAGTGAAATCATTCTCATAATTTTCAATAAAACTAATTTCTCATGGCTGAAGCCTCTAAAGAATCTAGTATGTTGGTTAAAATACATACTGAGGAAAATAGATATTCACCTGCATTTGTATATTAAAATAAAGACAACTTCATGAGACAAAGTATAAAGATAACTGGTAGATACAATTAGACAAGCTTGAATATTAAATGTCCTAAACATTAGAACTTCAAAGTCTTTGAATGGCCCTTTCTCCTTGCTCCAACCCTCAGGTTTTGAATGTTAACAATAAGAAGTAGAAATCTCATTGTCACATTTATGCATTATTAAATGATAGCACAATTCATTTTATTTCTACTCAATAAATTGTTAAAAATATTCATTATGCAAACCATGGACTCTTTACTAGTAAAGCTATTATGCTCATTCCAATGTACTTAGTAATCTGTTGCATTTTAATTCTTCCTTTGAGATAGTGAATGTTGAATAAAATTTAAATACCTTAATATATTATTTTAATCTACTGTTTAAAAAACTTTTAAAGAAGTAAAAGGGTCATCTATCATATGACTGGATACATTTAAAAGGTAGTGTCAATCTAGTCCAGATCCATAGAGAGACAAAGAGACAAAATTTAAAATGAATTAATATTTTATTTTTAAATTACCCTCTTCTATTTAGATTTTACATTTATTTATAAGTGACTTATGCTAATATATATTCAACATTATTTTGTTGGAGTAAAAGGGCAATATCTATGCATTAAAATTCACCTGAGAAAGAACAAGTAATACAAAGAAATTTGAAAAAAAAATATTGATTGGGGAGAGAGAGAGAGAGAGAGAGAGAGAGAGAGAGAGAAATGTGAGAGAGAAACAGAGCCACAATTTCCAGGGCAAGAATTTATTTATTTTTCTAAAGGAGAACAATATTTATTGCACACACTACCCTTAAGATTTCTTTTCTTTGTACTTGGAAGAATTTTAACTGAAAATAAATATGAATTATACCTTTTTGCTATTCCCTTGACTCCTGTGACAGGATTAGCTTGGGGGAATCTTGGGGCTACCTTGAATATGAGCTTCTCAGGGGAGAAAAGCAAGTCAAACTTAACCTCCAAATGTTTCTTTATTGTATTGGCTGTCTGGGAGGCTGTCAAATTTTTCTGTGTCTTTTGGGGATGAAAGTCTTTGCAATTTTTTTATCTGAATATGACTACTTTATATTGATGTCATAGGGCATCACAGTGATATGTGGACTATGGGAAATTATTTGAGCATTACCAAATGCATTATGATTATAAATAATGATTTTATAATTCTCATTTTGCTCCATCTAGGAATTAGAAAAATATATGGTTGATATTTGATATTTTCAAAGAAATTTAACAAAACATTACTGCAGTACTTCTTGATGATCTCATTGTTTACAAGGTTGCAAACATGCCAGCCTTAATTACTCAAGCCAGTGGGTAACTATCAATGAGCAGAGGGTACTTTCATTTTAATCAATTCATACAATTTATCCTTCCAACTCATCTAAAATATCAGCCACTTCCTGGAAATATATTTGAACTATTTAATTTATTTTTCTTTTATTCGCCTTTTATGCTTCTTGGTACAACTCCCACAGTGAAATTGCTTCTGTGTAAATCACCAATAATTTCCATGCTATGAAAGCAAATGGATACTATTTGGTGTTGTGTGCAATAGAAAAAAAAATATCAATTCTTCTAGGTTAGTTTAGGTGTTCTAATAGTTACATTGACATGACATAAACATGAGAAAATAATCAAATGTAATTATATGCAGTATACGAGAACCATGCATACATGAGAGATTCAGAGACAGAAAGGTAAAATGAGGTGTATATAACATCCTGTCCTAAGGAATGAGGTAAGATGCCCTAAGCTTCACAGGGGCGGTGGGCCATTCACAAGATGATGTTCAGTCATTGAAGTTTTCCCTACTATATAGATAGGTCATAAGAAGTTATTTTTTATGACAACCCTTATTATGGGCAACACCCCACATTTAAATTCTTAAGAGTAAGGTAAAAGTTTCTCTTGAGCCCTCAGGGTCTCAGTTGCCTTCAGCTCAATATAATGGACATGCCAAAGTAGCATAACTTGGGGAAGGCCTTCAATTATTATCTTGTTTAATCTCTTTTCATTCATTCTATAATGAATTATTA